TAATTTAAAATAAGAGATTAAAGAAGAAAATGAAGAAATTAAAATAGAAATAGATGAATGTCAAAAAGGAGTTGAAAAAGAACCAGATAATTCAATAGAATGGATAAAATTAATACAATGTTTCATTCAAAGAAAAGAAATAGATGAAGCAAGAAAAGTATGAAAAACAACAATAGAAACTATCAATTTTATGAAATTAGAAGAGAAATTAAACATTTAGAAAGCATTAATCCAATTAGAAGCTAATCATGGAGATGAAAAGAGTTTAAAGAAAGTATATAATGAAGTATTAGAAGTATGTGATAGGAAGAAGATTATGCTTCATATGATTCATATTTATAAAGAAAAGAAAGAAGAAGAAGAGAAAATATTTAGAACATTATTTAAGAAAGTTAAAGGAAGTTGTAAAGTATATAAGAAATATTGTAAATTCATAATGAGAAATAATAGAGAAGAAGAAATTAAGAATACAATAAGTAAAGCAAAAACAACATTAGATAAAAAGAAAATGATAAGTTTAGAAATTCATATTGCACGATTAGAATATAAATATGGATCATTGATAAAGGAAGATCAATGTTTGAAGATATTTTAACAAATAATCCAAAACGAAATGATGTTTGGAATATTTATATTGATATGGAGAAAGAAGTAGGAGAAGTAGGAGTAATACGAAGAATATTTGAAAGAATAGTTAAACAAAAATTAAATACTAAAACAATGAAAACATTCTTAACTAAATATTTAGAATTTGAAATAAAATATGGAGATGAAAGTAAACAAGAACATGTTAGAGATATTGCTAAATCATTTGTTTCAAGAAAATAAATTGATTGAATTTTTAATAAAAAGAAAATCATTTTATAATAAAATAAATAAATATTTAAATTAAATTATCAACATAATTTTAATAATGAATTTACATTATTTTTATTATTTATTATCATATTTCTTATTTATTTTATTTATTCTTTATTTATATTCTTTTATTTTATTATTCTTTCTTTTATTTATTCTTTTTATTCTTTGTTTTTCTTTATATTCTTCTTTTCTATTATTTTTATTTTACTTCTTTCTTTATTTCTTTTTTGATTATTTATTCTGTTATTTATTTTATTTTATTTATATTGTTCTATATTCATATTATTTTGTTTTGTTATTTGTAATTAATGATAAAATATTGAATAAAATATATAATTAATTATAATGAAAATAATATATCATTTTAATATTGATATTTATGAGAAATATTGAAATTATTCAATTGTTATTTTGATTTGAATTATTATTATCATTTTATTTATTATTATTTTTATTCTATTGTTTATTATTTTTATATTTGATTTTCATTTAAATAAAATAGAAAAGAAATAAAGAAGATAAGAATAATGAAATGAAATTATTATTTAAAATTGTTTTGAAATTTATTTTATATAAATTAGATGATAAATATATGTTTAATATTATAAATTATGTATTAATATTATAATTTATTTCAAATTGATTGATGAAATTAAAAAGAAAATATTAATTTACAATTTTATTTATTGATTGAAAAAGTATAATTTCAATTAGATTAATAAGATTGATATTATTGTATTTTTTATTATTTATATTTCATTTTCTATTTATTTTATCATATTTATTTATAATATTTATAATGTATTTAAATGAAATTAAAATATCTGATATATTTATAATGATTTCACATGAAATAAAACAATAAAATTATTTATAAAAGTATAATGAATAATAATGAAATAATTAATAAATTGAATTTATTCAAATAAGATATATTTTATTTTATATATAAAATGATATAAATAATGTAGACATTGTTGATATTTGTTATTTTGAATGAATAAGAATATGATAAGAAGAAAATAAATCAAATTAATGAATAAAAGAATAAAAAGAAATACATATATTGTAATTGTATTAAACAATACAACATAAAGAAATATCAAATAAAATGGAATCAAAATAATAAAACAATAGTTAAAATAGATAATAAATATGATAAAGAAATTAATATAAAACATGTACATTGATGATATGAATATGGAGATAAAGGAGAATTGAGTACAAAATGTGTACTATCATATTTTGAATCATGATATAAATTTGATTATAATAAAAATAAATGTATTGAAGATGGTTGTGAGTACCAATAAACATAAGCATGGTTGTCATTGGAATAATCACACTAATTCTCTTATTGAAAAAAGATTAATTTAAAATTTTTTGTTTATGAAATAACGATGAACAAGGGATGAAATAAAGAAAAGGTAAATAAAAAACTTAACTTATTGGCAATTAGTATAATAAGTCCAATATTTTCATTTTCATATGTTATATTTGTTTAAAATGAAATAAAAAAGAATAAAACACAATAATTAAACAATGATAAAATGTAATAACATGGTGATACTTTTAATTAACCATATATTCAAAATAAATAATGTAAAATGTGTAAAAATGGTTATAATTATATTTTATTATTTCATTTTCGTTTATTTCAATTTATAGAAAATATAAACCATAAAAACATTAAAATAAATTCAAATTATCATTTTGATTAATATTCTTCATATTCTTCATTATAATTCAATACTTTTTCTATTTCATATTTTTTATAATTAGTTTTACGTTCAGAACTAGTTCCTGGATTAACAACATGTTCATTATCTTCTGTAACAATAATTCCTAAATATTCATTAATATCAATCTCACCAAATGGCAATTCTTCAAGTAATGCTAGTTTAAGTTTGAGTAAGTTGATAAAATCATTTGATAATTCTTGAACTTTTTTCATTACACTTA